TGGCTTGAACTCAGGGCCTGAGTGCTATCTCTTAGCTTTTTCTCCTGAGGCTAGTATTCTACCCACTTGAGCACCACTTCCACCTTTTTGTTGATTAATTGGAGGTAAGAATTTCATGGCCTTTACTGGCTTCAAACCACAATTCTAGATTTGAGCTTCTTGTGGGGCTAGACTTACAGGCATGAGGCATTGGCACTTTTTTTTTCTAAGTGTGTCCATGTGTGCAGGCATGTGTGTGCCTGCACACTGGTCCTGGAGCTTGCTTTACTCAGGGCCTGGGTGCTATCTTTGAGCTTTTTTTGCTCAAGGCTAGCACTCTGCCATTTGGGCCACAACTCTTCTTCCAGCTTTTTTTTGTAGTTAATTGGAGATGAGTATCACAGTCTTTCTTGCCTAGGCTGCCTTCAAACTGGGATCTCATCTTCCTGAGTAGCTAGTATTATAGGCCTGAGCTAAGGGCTCCCAGCTTGCTGGTTATTTTTGAAGACAGTTCTCCAATTTCTTTTACCCTGTCTGTTTTAAGAGTTTATAGGTATGAGTCAGCAGTTGTTCTTTTTTGCATTTTATTGATCCTATTTCCAGAAACTTCTAAAGATCACTGTGGGATCTTTTTCTGTGGTAGTTGCTGCTCTTCTTTTTTTTGGGTGGAAGAGTGCTGAGGATTGAACCCATGAGGATGAACTCATCCATGCTAAGCACATACTCTACCACTGAGCAATATGGCCAGTTCTTTTTTTGTGTGTATGACAGTTCTGGGCTTGAACGTAAGGCCTAGGTGTTCTTCCTGAGCTTTTTTATTTTTTCCCCCTTTTGCCTGTTCTGGGGCTTGAACTCAGCCTGAGTGCTGTCCCTGAGCTTTGGTGCTCAAGGCTAGTGCTCTACCATTTGATTCACAGCACCACTTCTGAGTAGTGTACTCTACCACTTGAGCCAGGGTGGCCACTTCTTGCTTTTTCTGAGTAGTTTTTGGAAATAAGAGTCTCATGGACTTTCCTGCCTGGGTTGGTTTCGAACCATGATCCTCAGATCTCATCCTCCTCCTGAGTTGCTAGGATTATAAGTGTGAGCCACCAGTGCCCAGTGTGTGTGTGTGTGTGTGTGTGTGTGTGTGTGTGTAAGTGTGAGCCACCAGTGCCCAGCGTGTGTGTGTGTGTAAGTGTGAGCCACCAGTGCCCAGCGTGTGTGTGTGTGTGTGTGTGTTAGTTACTGGGTCTATAACTTAGGGACTTGTGCTTGCTAGCCAGATACTCTTTATCACTAACTCTCAAGTTGCTTTCAATTCAAGATCCTCCTGCCTCAGTCTCCTGAATACTGAGGCATGTGCTACCACCACACTTGACGAATAATGTAGTTTAGGTATTGTACTTTTTTTTAAGGCTTCTATCATAAATTATCACAAACTAGAAGACTGAAATAATAGAAAATTTTATTTACAGTTCAGGAGGCTAGAAGTCTTAAATTAAGAGCCATACTCTTAAAGATTTGAGGGGAAAGTCCTTCCTTGTTTATCTTCAGCTTCTGATGGTTTCTGGCATTTTCTTGTCTTCTGGTAGGAGAACCCATTTTCTTCCTATGTCTTCATATGACTGCAGTATTTTGTCTGTCAATCATTGATTACTCTAAATCTAGGCTGATTTTTTCTTTTTCTTTCTTTGTTTTTCTCATGCTTGTTAGTCTTATGCTGGTAATCAACCACTTGAGCCATGACCCCATTCTTGCTTTTTGTGGGTGGTTTTGGAGATGGAGTCTAGTGATATTTTGTATACCAGCTAGCCTTGAACCACAATATTTTAGGTGTCATGCTTGAGTAGGATTACAGGTATAAACAATAGCATCCTGTAGACTTAGGATGATTTCATTTTGAGATCTTTAATTTGCTCTGTCAAGTTTTTATTTTCAAATAAATCTAATTCTGTGGATCTGAATAGGTAAGTGTGTTTTGGGGGCACCACTCAACCTGTTAATGTAAAAGCATTATTTATTTGATTTAAACTTTGGGGAAGGGAAACAGCTAAATAATGTCAAAACTAATTTTTAGTGTGCAGAAATGTTAGTTGGGGTCATTCTCTAGTCTGGGTATTCTAGATAGAAATACCAAGTAAATAAATAGTTGATGTGCTGGAACTAGGCTTGACCTTTTCTTTTTTAATTTTATTGTCAAGGTAATGGCTTTGACCTTTTTTTAAAAATTTATTTTTTGTCAGACGTGGGTCTTGAACTCTGGGCCTGGGCACTATCCCTGAGCTCTTCAACTCAAGACTAGTGCTCTACCACTTTAGCCACTTCCGGCTGTTTTGATTTATGTGGTGAGGAATCGAACCCAGGCCTCATGCATGTGAGGCAGGCATTCTACCACTGAGCCACCTTCCCAGCCCATGACCTTCTTAACACTTGTTAGCAAGGTAGGAAAAAGTAACTTTAAGGCTGTGATCAGCTTGAGGATACGAGATTCTATGATATTGTAAATTTTAAGAAATAACATTGGAGATGAACTAGGGTTTTTTTGGGGGGGGACAGAGGCTCCGCATTAATGTAGAGCCTCTAAATCTTGCATAAATTCTCTACTTGTGCTATACTCTTTTTTTTTTTTTTTGGGTCCGGTCGGAGGGCCTGAACTCTGGGCCTGGGCGCTGTCCCTCAGCTCTTCAGCTCAAGGCTAGCACTCGACCATTTGAGCCACAGTGCCATTTCTGGTTTTCTTGTGGTTAGTTGGAGATAAGAGTCTCATGGACTTTTGTGAGACTGGGCTGGCTTTGAACCACAATCCTCAGATCTCAGCTTCCTGAGTAGCTCGGATTACAGGCATGGTGCCTGGCTAAGACTTATCCTGGGGCTTGAACTCAGGGGCTGGGCACTGTCCCTGAACTTTTTTTTTTTTTGGGTCGGGTTGTGGGGCATGAACTCTGGGCCTGGGCGCTGTCTTTCAGCTCTTCAGCTCAAGGCTAGCACTCTACCACTTGAGCCAAAGCACCACTTCCGGCTTTTTTCTTTTTGCTTGTGTGGTACTGAGGAATCAAACCCAGGGCCTCATGTGTGCAAGGCAAGTGCTCTACCACTGAGCCACCTTCCTAGCCCTGGACTTTTAAAAAAAATTTATTTCTTTAAATGGCTTTCTTAAGGTACAATTGAAATATAATAAATTTCACATGTTTAAAGCCCATGACTGATAATTTTTGACATGTGAATGCATTTATAAAACAATCACCCAAATTAAGATAATAAATATATCCACCATCCCCAAAAGTTTCTATGTGTTCTTTTTTCCACCCCATGTCCCTGAACTTCTTGTGCTCAAGGCTAACACTCTACCAATTGAGCCACAGCGCCACTTTCTGCGCTGTGGTACTGAAGAATTGAACCCAGGGCTTCATGCATGCTAGGAATTAATCTACCACAGAGCCACACTTCCCAGCCTTTTTTTTTTTTTTTTTTTTGCTTGAAGCAAGGTCTTACTATGTAGCCTAGTTAATATTGGAACTCCTTATATAGCGCCAGCTATTCATGATCTTGCCTCAACCTCCCACATGATGAGATGCTGGTTTTCTAGCATTATGCAAAAGAAAGAAAAGATTGAGGGCTGGGAATGTGGCTTAGTGGTAGAATGATTGCTTAGCATGCCTAGTGTGCCTGTATTTGGCTTGAACTCAGGGCCAGGGTGCTCTGCTTGATAAGGTTTTTCTGCTCAAGGCTGTCATTCTACCACTGAAGCCACACCTCTACCTGACTATTTGCTGATTAATTGGAGATTAACTCTGGGCTAGCTTAGCACTTTGATCCTCAGATCTCAGCTTCCTGAGTAGTAGCTAGGATTCCAGGCCTTAGCCACTGCTGCCTGACTAATTTGAAACTTTGCCAATTTGCCAGTGACTAGATTTTTACAGGCAGAAGAACTCCTTTCAGAATAGATAACCACTTAAATGGACATTGTTCTAGTCCCGTTTATACTCTGCTTATTTTAGTTTGTTTTGCATAATTAAAAGATACTGTGGAGCTGGGTGCTGGTAGCTCAGAAGGTTGAGCTCTGAGGAATGTGGTTTGGAGCCAGTCTATCAAGAAAGTCCAATTAACTACCAAAAAAGCTGGAAGTGGAGCTGTGGCTCAGATGGTAAGGGGCTAGCTCAGGGAGAGTGCCCGGGCCCTGAATTTAAGCCCCTAGACTGGCACACACAAAGATAATAAACAGGGCACCGGTGGCTCATGCTTATAATCCTAGCTACTTAGGAGGCTGAGATCTGAGGATCATGGTTTAAAGCCAGCTTGGGCAGGAAAGTCTGTGAGACTCTTCAGTTAACCACCAGAAAACCAGAAGTAGTGGTGTGGTAGAACACTAACTTGGAGTGGAAGAGCTGAGGGACAGCACCCAGGCCCAGAGTTCAAGCTGACCAAAAAAAAAAGATACTATGGGAATCAAAATTATTTTTTTTCCCCTTCTAGATTAACTGCTGAAGTGCTGATCAAGTTCTGCGTTTCTTCAATGAGGAACTACAGGCTGATCTTCTGCCATAATCTCAAACAACCATAAATGACAAAAAAATGCTTGCTCAGTGAGGGTAGCTGGTGCAAAAGACATTTTTTAAACTTAGGTGTTTAAGTACTCAGAGGTAAGTTTTCACAAGGGTCAATGCACAGAGATTTTTTGAGTTTACCCCTTGTAGCTGCTCTTTTTCTTTTCTCTCCTTGGTTTTTATTATCAGTTATTCTAGGCTGCAATTTGAGTATTAACATTGAAGTTTTGTAGTTACAAGCTGGACTACATGTGTTAAATAGATGTTATTTGTCTAAGACTATGTAAATTTATGGCATTTTCTTGTTCTTAAATTAATTGCTAGTAAATTCTAGTAAATTAGTTGGATTGTTTCCTAGTTATGTGAACATTCTTGATCCAAAGGGTATATGATTGATCAGTAGGCCTATTTTTTTAAATTTTCGAATCTTGAGTAGATTAATCTTTGTGATCTGTTGGTCCTGGGGCCTGAACTCTGGGCCTGAGCACTATCTCATAGCTTTTCAGCTGAAGGCTAACACTCTACTACTTGAACGTCAGCCCCACTTATAGCTTCTTCTGCTTATGTGGTGTTGAGGAATCGAACCCAGGGCCTTATGCATACAAGGCAAGCACTCTACCACTGAGCCACCTTCCCAGCCCCCTGTATTTAGTTTTGTTTCCAGTTTTTGAAAAGTTTTTCTTTTAAAGGTAAAATACATAGTACTAGATTTTATTCATTATTTATTTATTTTTTGGGTCTGGTCGTGGGGCCTGAACTCTGGGTCTGGGTGCTGTCCCTCAGCTCTTCAGCTCAAGGCTAGTGCTCTACCAACTTGAGCCATAGCACCGCTTCCGGCTTTTTTTTTTCTTTCTGCTTATGTGGTGCTGGGGAATCGAACCCAGGGCCTCATGCATACCTGAGCCACCTTCCCAGACCCAGTACTAGATTTTTATAAAAAAAAATTTTCTTGGGATTGTTTTCTAATGCTTCTGAGGCATTGTTTTTAACCACAGCCTGATTTTTTTTTTTAATACTATATGGGCCTTGCATTTACTAGGCATATGGCCTATCACTTGAGCCATGTTCCCAGCCCTTTTTGCTTCCATATTTTTCAGATAGATATTCACTTTTTGCCCAGGCCAGCCTTAGCTTGTGACCTACTTAACCTATATATTTCAGTAGCTGGGATTACAGGCTCATACCATTTCTGCCTTATTGTCTAGCTTATTGCCCTACTTGTTGGTTGAGATGGAGTTTCAATACCCTTTTCCTCCTGGATCCTTCTAGTTCACCTTCATAGTACCTGGGATTACAGGTGTATACCATTATGACAGGCTCTTTATCCATCTTTATTGATTGTTTTTTCTAGAACTTGTTTTCTTTTTGTGTATTTTGAGACAGTGTCTTACTTTATAACTCAGACTGACCTATATTAACTGACCTGATTATGTAGTCCAGGTTGGCCTCAAACTTTTTCAGTTGTATATCTCAGCTTTCAGTGAAGAAGTCCTTTTTATCAATACAGGGTTTCATAATTATTCAAAAGAAAAAAATTATTAGGTGTGTTGGTACATATCAGCATGGGCCATGAGACCATGTCTCAAAAAAGAGTGACTGTTAACGTTTATTAGCCCATCTCTATAAAAAGAGCTTTTCTCTGTTTGGGTTATTTGTGAATTGAGGGTTTAGATAATGGCTCATATGTTAGAGTCTAAAGATGGATTGGACTTTTTACCTGTGAAATTAAATAAATTTAGTCAATAAAGATTGTGGGGTCAGATTTGTCCTTGAACTTGTCTTTGAGACATCAGTTAATGTCATTTGCTGATTTTTGAATAATCAGTTTTGCCATTGTTAAATGTGTAAACACTTAACGAGAGCATTCAGAACTGATGTCATATGGAGAAAATACTTAGATAATTATATGGAGCTTTATTTGTAAAATAATCCAATAACTGGGACATAAAATAGATGAGAACACATTCAGGTTAAAGCATTTTTCTTTAATGTATTAGTCCATATTGCCACCTGTTAATCATTATAGTCTTTTTTTTTTGTTTTGTTTTGTTTTTTTTTTTTGTTTTTTTGTCTTTCATTTGGCAGAAAAGACAGCTTTGATTTCTGGCTGCAAAAAAGATATGAGGAAGAGCTCCTCCCCTTCCTTGAGTAACTGCAACTCCGTTCTTGCTAACAAAATATTTGGAATTCCACTTGATGAGCTGCAGCAGGGAGGACATCCAGACAATGAGGTTCCGTTCATAGTCCGCCACGTTGTGGACTATATTGAGGAACATGGTATACATTTCCTTACTTTGAGGGCTAGCTTTTGTTTTAATAAACACAGCTTAACCCTTGACCTTGGATTTAATTTTTTTTTAATGTGGAAAGTGGAAAACATGAAAAACAATAGGATTCTTTTTAAAGCTTTACTATGTTTTTTTACTTAAATTCATGTGCCTAGAAATGACAGTTGCCTAGCCTAGAACATTTTTAGTGGGGGTGATAGGAATATTTTTAATGGATATAAAGGGTGGGATAAGATAGACTACCCCTCAGAGACAGTATGTTTCTAGATGACTGACTTGAAGGCTTTTAGCCAAATCTGGGGAGCCCAGAAAGGCTTCCAGAAGTATGAACATTTTAAGTTGATTTGAGAATGAATATGTTTGATCAAATAGTTGAAGTTGCAGTTTAATATTTGCCTTGAACTAATGTAGGAGGTCTGGAGCAACAAGGACTTTTTCAAGTCAATGGAAATGCTGAGACAGTGGAGTGGCTTCGGCAGAGATACGACAGTGGAGAAGAGGTGGATTTGGTTAAGGAAGCAGATGTTCCCTCAGCTATTAGTCTTCTTAGGTTTTTCCTTCAAGAACTTCCTGAACCTGTTATTCCTGGCAGTTTGCATATTCACTTAATGCAACTCTCTCAAGGTAACATACTTTGATTCTTATCAATGAGTCAATCATTTATTATAATTTTAGAGTCCTTTTTAGAAATCTTGACATGTAATCAGTAAGTATAGTATTTGAGATTAATTTCTTAGTTTTTCATTTTCTGTTTGGGGCTATATGATCTAGTTATAGGAATGGCAACTTGCTGGATCATACAGTAATGTTTACTTTTTGATTGATCACAGAGACACTAGAGGCAGAGGAGGTAAGGAAGAATATTATCTATATTGTTCATTCTCTTGGAAAGGTTTTTAGATCTTGAAAAGAGATTAAATTATTAGATCCATTTGTTATAAATAAAATACACTATTGTGTATTGTGTATAGCAAATTCAGCTGTTTGGGAATACTTGCTTTCTGCTAGATAGTATTCTAGTATTCTATAATACAGCACAGAACAAAACTAAAACTTTAAAGGGGAGGATAGAGGACAAATAGTTGAAAAACAAAATAAATATAAAAATATGTATCTATGATAAGCAAGTGCTACAAAGGTGGAGAGAATGTCACATAGAATTTGTTAGTGTTATGTAGTTGTGTTTGATAATTATTACTGTTATTATTATTTATTTTTTGTAGCCCTGGGTCTTGAACTCAGGACCTGGGCACTGTTTCTGAGCTTCTTTGGCTCAAGGCTATCACTCTCCCACTTGAGCCACAACACTACTTCTGGTTTTTTTCTGTTTATGTTGTACTGAGGAATTGAACCCAGGGCTTTATGCATTCTAGTCAAGCTTTCTACCACTAAGCCACATACCCAGCCCCTTTATTTTTTTGTTTTGTTTTTAGTAGATACATGTGGCTTTTGTAACCACGTTCTGCAAAATGCTTAGGTTGTTACAGTTAATTTTCCACGAGTTACAGGTATGATGATTTAAAAAAATCCAGGGACTATTCCATTTAATAGAAGATCAAAGTACTGGCACATTGGAATGAACAGTTGGTAATATTACAAAATAAAAAAATGTTACTGGTTGCATCTTAAATTTTAACTGGAACTATGTGACTAATCCTTTCTTGACTTTTTAGACATATTTGTATTTTTGGTTGTACTAGGCTTCATGTTTTGCTGGGCAGGCACATTAGCACTTGGACCACTCTGCTAAGCTTTTCTTACATTGGTTGTTTTTGGGATAGGTCTTGCTAAATTCCTGAGCTGACTTAGATTGTGGTCTTCCTATTTGTGGTTCCCCATATTTCTAGGGTGCCAGATGCAAACCACCATACCTAGCCATTGGTCAAGATGGAATTTCAACAAACTTTTTTGTTTATATTGGCTTCAAACTATAATCCTGTGTAGCTTAGATTATAGGTTGGAACCACCATGCCTAGCTTGAACCTTGTGTTTCATTTTGTAGAAATGGCCCATATCAAGACCATAACCATTGCCAAGAGTTTTATATAAGAGTTTACTTAAGAGTTCAAGTGTTAGCATGTATGCTTAGTAATAATGCAAACATACTAAGTTCAAACTTGAATACCACCACTAAAAATTAAGCCCTCTCTTTAATTTTAAGAACCTGTAGAGAATTTTAGGATAAAATATAGTTGTGTTGATACTCATTACTGAAGCAATAGACTCATTTTGACTGTACCTTTGGGAAATTACCTTTCTATCATCAATCAAGTTCATATAGGCTTGGCTTCTGTTAGTAACACAAGGCCTAGCTTACGTGATAAAATGTACTTATTAAGAAAGAAAGCAGTACAAGTTTAGAGAAGAAAACCAAATAACAAATAAAAGACCATTTAATTTAGTTCTACTAATATTGCTGAAGTTAATCTTTTCCAAATGTCTGCGGGAATAATAAAGTCTGTCATGTTATTCATTCCTTGTTTTCCCATTCCTTAAAGTGAAATAGTGAAATAGTAGTTAGTGAATAATAATAGTGAAAAATGTTAGTGATATTATTAGTTTTTCAATTGCTATTTTGCTCAGTAGTTGATGTTGACTGGCAATGTCAGTGTATTTTAACTTATAGTTGGCATTAGTTGAGAAACACAGGTATAATGCAGGAGACACTATGAAGAGAATTAAAAAAGGGAAACTAGAGAATTGATGCCAATGAGTAATAGATGAAGAAAACATCTTCCATTAATTGAGAAACTTGAGTTCCTTTTTTCCACCTCCCCCTTCTCAACTCTTCTCCCACATTAATAAGTGAAATGCAAAGCCCTAAGGCATTTAGCCTCTAGTAGAGGAAGTGAAGAGGTTTTGAATTGGTATCATAAAGAAATGATGTGGGTGGAGTAATGTGAACCTGGCAAAATATCTGAGCTTTGCTTTTTACTTCATTAAGAAAACCTGTAATTATGTTTTATAGATTATAATAATGAAGATGAATTTGGAAGAAAGTTGAGGTTCCTCTTGCAACAGCTTCCACCTGTTAATTACAGTTTGTTAAAGTTTCTGTGTAGATTTTTAGCTAATGTAGCATCACATCATGAAGAAATTTGGTCTGCAAATTCTTTGGCTGCTGTCTTTGGTCCAGATGTCTTTCAGTAAGTTTTTAATAAGTTTTTGCTCAATTTTTAGAATGAGATTTGTAAACTAGAATCGTATTGTCTTCCAAGTAGTAATGTTAACTATTATTTTTTTTATAGTAGCTCTGATTAAACTTTGTAGCATTGCTGTGAACAGGGTACAAATTAGGTAGGCTTTACAGATGGGAAAACTGAGGCACAGGATGATGACATCAGTTGCTCAGTTTCATAATGTGATTCATTGGTTCTCTTCTAACTTTACCTGATATTTAAGAACTCAGTTCAATTTGGACTTTTATTCTTAGCATTTACACAGATGTGGAAGATATGAAAGAGCTAGAAATTGTAAGCAGAATAATGGCGGGACTTCTGGAAAACTATTATGAGTTTTTTGAAAATGAAGAGGAAGATTTTTTATCAAATGATTTGAGTTCAATTACTGAACAGGTAAGACTATCTTAAAATCTATGTGGAGGGAGAAATTCTGTGTTTCAAGAATCTCCTTTATGGTTTTGACACACTTATGCTGAATTTATGTTTTGAACTGTGGGTGATTCTCTTGATTAATATTTGTAATCAGGTGACAAATCCATGTAGCCAATGAGGTTTTTTTTTTCCCCTTGAACAACTTTGTCCCCAATTTAGGTAATAGGAAAAGTACTTTTTGTTGTTGGTCTTGGGGTTTGAACTCAGGGTCTGGTCACTGACTCTGGGCTTTTTTTGCTCAAGACTAGTGCTCTACCACTTTGAGCCACAGTGCTACTTCCAGTTTTCTAGTAGTTAATTGGAGGTAAGAGTCTCATGGACTTTCCTACCTGGGCTGACTCAGGGCCTTGATGCTGTCTGAGCTTTTTTTGCTCAAGGCTGGTGCTTCATCGCTTCAGCCACAAATTCCACTTCTGGATTTTTGTTTGTAATCAGATTTAAGAATCACATGGACTTTCCTACCCAGGCTGGCTTTGAACTGTGATCCTCAAATCTCAACCTCCTGAGTAGTTGAATTATAAGCATGAGCCACTGTTGCCCTGCTTATTGTATATTGTTGTGCTGCAGATTGAATCTAGAGCCTAGAGCATACTAGCTATATAAAGGCATTTAACTCAGAGTATAGGGTTGATATTTTATACTTTTTCCACCCTTATTCGTGTAGGCATTGTTTATTTAATAAGAAAAGTATGTTCCCCCCCCCAAAGGTATTATTCTAATATAGAAGAATATATATAGGCAAAGGGTGAGAAATTTAAGGTAGAGGAAAAGATCAACACTTTTTTTTTTGGTGCAGATCCTGGGGCTTGAATTCTCACTTAAACTTTAAGGCTGGTGCTCTATCACTGCCACATCTCTATTAATTGGAGATAAAATAAATTTAAAATAGATTTTTTTTTTTTTGTATGTGTGTGCCAGTCCTGGAGCTTGAACTTGGCCTGGGCACTGTCCCAAGGTAGTGTTCTACCACTTGAGCCACAGATCCACTTCTGACTTTTGGTGTTTAATTGGAGATAAGAGTCTCAATGTCTTTCCTGCCCAGGCTGGCTTTGAACTGCAGTCCTCAGATTTTAGCCTACTGAGTAGCTAGGATTACAAGAGTGAACCAGCATCAACTGCAGAAACAGATGTCTTAAAAAAAAAAAATCCTCTGCCTATAATTCTAGCTCCTCAGGAGGCTGAGATCTAAGAATGAAGGTTTGGACAAAATTCTGGTCAGATAAATCCTGGAGACTCGTATTTCTAATTAACTAGCAAAAAGCTGAAAGTGGAAAATGTTGGAGCACTAGGCATGTGGGACAAAATCAAGCAACAGTTTGAGACCCTGAGTTTAGGCTTCAAAATGAGACAAAACCAAACACCTTACATGAGTTCTTTCTTGCTATAAAGTTCCATTTCCTTGAGAAAAGTTAAATATGAGTTAGACATTAGCTGACATTTCCTAAAAGACAACACTTTCAGGCAAGATTTTTGTGTGTGTGTGTGTGTGTTTCAGTCTGGGGCTTTAATTCAGAACCTGGACATTGTCCCTTAACTTTTTCACTCAAAGGTAGCTTTCTACCATTTGAGCCATAGCTTTACTTCCAGCTTTTTGGTGATTAATTGGAGTTAAGTCTCATGCACAGGCTGGCTTCTAGTCACAATCCTCAGATGTCAGCCTCCTGATTGAGCCACTGGCACCCAGCTTTTTTGTTTGTCTATTTTTTGTTTTTTAAATAAGAAATTGTAGTCATTGAACATAGCCATTTTCTGTTTCAAAACAAAATATCCAGGGAACGAGATATATAGCAGTAGTTGGATACAAATGAAATAAAAATCACAGTTAAAATTAGACAGTTACTGAAAGGCAGACCACTTGGTTTACCAAATTAAAAAAAAACAAACCTGTTGATGTCAAAAGGATAAAACTCAGGCTCCAGTGGCTTACACCTATAATCTTAGCTACTCAGGAGGTTGAGATCTGTGGATCATGGTTCCAAACCAGCTCCAGTAGAAAAGTTTCCATGAGATTCTCTCTAGTTAACCACCAGAAAATCGGAAGTGGTGCTGTGGATCAAGTGGTAGAGTGCTAGCCTTGAGGCCCTGCGTTCAAGCTCTACAACCAACCAAAAAAATACACCTGGTAACTGGAAAAACAAGTTCGACCTTTCTTGTGGTTATTAGTGTACAAATTTGGAACTTAGGGCATGGCTTAATTGATACATTGCCTACCTAGCAAGCTCAGACAAACCTTAGTACCATGAAAAAACAAAATAAAAAAACATAGAAATAACAAAACATCAAAAAACTACCTTTAATATTAATGTGCAGGCCTTTTCATAGTCTGCAGTCTTTTTTTCTTTTTTTCTTTTTGGTGTCTGTCCTAGAGCTTGACCTCAGAGCCTGGGCACTGTTGCTTAGCTTTTGTTTTGCTCCAGATTAGAGTTTCTCCCACAGCCCCATTTCAGCTTTTTTTTTTTTTGGTAGTTTATTGGAGATAATCTCATGTACTTAGTTCTGCGCAGGCTGTCTTTGAATCACAGCCTTCAGATCTTAACCTTCTGAGTAGAGCTAGGAGTGCAGGCATAAGCCTCTGGTTTGGTTTTCTTTTTTCCTGCCATTCCTGGGCTTGAATTCAGGGCCTGGGCATTGTCCCTGACCCTCTCTGTGCTCAAGGCTAGCACTCTACCACTTGATACACAGCACCAATTCTGGCTTTTTCCATTTATGTGGTACTAAGGAATCAAACCAGGGTTTCATGAATACTAGGCAAGCACTCTGCTACTAAGCCACATTCTCAGCCCCAAGCCACTGGTTTTTGTCTGTAGTCTTTTTTTTTTTTTTTTGTCAGTCATGGGGCCTGTATCTGGGCCTGGGCACTATCCCTCAGCTTTTCAGCTCAAGAATAGTGCTCTACCACTTGAGCCACAGCGCCACTTCCAGATTTTTTTGCTTATGTGGTATTGAGGAATTGAACCCAGGGCCTCATGCATGCAAGGCAAGCACTCTGCCACTGAGCCACCTTCCCAGCCCCATGTCTGCAGTCTTATATTCTTGCTGATGAATGGAACTAACACAATCATTAGTTTCTGATTCAAAATGTTTGTTTGGCTTATAAGCCATTACTTTTATTTTCATTTAAAATCGTATTTTTGTGGTGCTATGGTAAACTCAGGGCTTTGTCATGCCACTGAGCTATACCCCCAGTCCTATAATTTTATGTTAATATAGAAAAGTTGACAGGCCCGGTCCCAGGGGGCTTATGCCTATAATCCTAGCTACTCAGGAGGCTGATATCTGAGGATGGAGGTTGAATTCAAGCCAGCCTGTTCAGGAAAATCCAAGATATTCTTATCTCAGCCATCAAAAAGCTAGAAGTGGATGTGGGCTCAAGTGCTAGAGCACCAGCCTTGAGCAAAAGAGCAGTGCCTAGGCCATGAGTTCAAGGCCTCCCCCTCCCAACCATACCAGTACAAAAAAAAGTTGACAATTTCTTTATATGAGATACTGATCTTAGGAAATCAGGGAATAAAAATGAATTATGTTTACAATTTTCTTAGAATGTATATTTTAGATACATTAAATTTTTGTTACATTTTATTTATTTATTTATTTATTTAGGGTTTGGTCGTGGGGCCTGAACTCTGGGCCTGGGCACTGTCCCTCAGCTCTTCAGCTCAAGGCTAGCTCTCTACCACTTGAGCCACAGCACCACTTCTGGTTTTTTTCTTTTTGCTATATGTGGTGCTGAGGAATGGAACCCAGGGCCTCATGCATGCAAGGCAAGCACTCTACCACTGAGCCACCTTCCCGGCCCCTTTGTTACATTTTAATTTTGAGTTTCCTTGTATTTATATAGGTTAACGAACTTTCTGAGGAAGAAGATGAAAAGCTGGAACATATAGAAGAACTTCCAGAAGAGGGTGTAGAAAAATCAAATGACATGCCAGAAGTGGTACAATTAAGGATGACTGAAAATATCCTGGAAGCAAATAGTGTTACACCATCAACAAGGTAAATATTTGGGTTGGATGAACTTTAGAATTAGAGCATGTCATTTTAGACGTAGACTATCTTAAACACTAAACCCAAATTATAACTATGTGAAAGATTGATATATATATATATATTTTTTTTTACTGTGATTAAGTGATTATATAAATTTCACAAATTCCACAGTATTGTGAGTTAGTGATACTTAAAGTCGTAAACACATTCTAACCTTCATGGGGTAAATTGTCTTTATCATGGTCTATAAAGTTTGTGAATTCTGTGAGCTTTGATAATACAATTATTTCTTCCTCATCGGTGATAGGTACATTTCTTTCCTTTTGCTTAGTGTCAGCTGTTCCCATTTTCCTGCTCATTCCCTCCCTCCCATTGCTACCATTGAGTTGCTTATTTCATTTTGATCAATGGCCAATGTAGCTGATAGGTCCCCCTGTTGTATATTTTCCCCTGTTTCTGTGACCTCTTCCTAGTTTCCCTCTGATGTGCATGTATATATACCATGTATGTGGTCAACAGCATAGGGTCATTTAGTAATGATATGACCAGAGGTCCTTTATTTCTCAAGTCTTATTTACTTTGTTGTATCTTCTTACATTTTGGATTTAATATCCATATATCAGGGAGACCATGTGCTGTTTGTCTCTTTGCTCTTGGCTTATCTCACTCAACGTGATTTTTTTTGGTTCCATCCATCCCTGCGAATGCCATTATTTCTAATGGCTGCATAATATTCTAGTGTATATAGGTACCACAATTTTTGGATCCATTCATCTGTAGTGGGGCATCTGGGTTGTTTCCATGTCTTGGCTATTATAAATAGTGCTGCAATGAACATGGAGGTGCATGTGACCTTGTATCCAGGTAAATATTTAGGTTGGATGAACTTGAATTAGAGTATGTCATTTTAGATGTAGAGTACCTTAAACACTAAACCCAAATTATAACTATGTGAAAGATTGATATTTGAGTATGAAAAAGAGCAAGAAGAAAACTTAAAGCAGCAATCTTGATAGGGAATATTCAGTTACCACTTTTACCTTTATTTAAATATAGGAATCTCCAGCCAGGTGCCAGTGGCGCATGTCACCGAGAACAGAGAGGGTAAGATCTGAGGATCATAGGTTGAAGCCAGTTGAGGCAGGAAAGTTTGTGAGAATCTTTTTTTTTTTGGGTCCTGTCGTGGGGCCTGAACTCTGGGCCTGGGCGCTGTCCCTCAGCTCTTCGGCTCAAGGCCAGCGCTCTACCACTTGAGCCACAGCACCACTTCCAGTTTTTTTCTTTTTGCTTATGTGGTGCTGGGGAATCGAACCCAGGGCCTCAGGCATGCAAGGCAAGCGCTCTACCACTGAGCCACCTTCCCAGCCCCAAGTTTGTGAGAATCTTACCTGAAATTAAACCCCAAAAAGCCACAAGTTGAGCCACATATCTTTCTTTCAAGTGAAAGAGCACTAGGCTTGAGCAAAAAAGCAAAGGATCAACTCAGTCCCTGACAAGTCCCAGTACTAGTTATCCATATACGTGCATGTATGTATACGCACGTACACACGTGCATGCATGAAATCTAAGGTACTGGTGCCTCATACCCATAATCCTAGCTGCTCAGGAGGTTGAAGTATGAGAACCATGGTTCAAAGCCAGCCTGGGCAGAAAAGTCCATTGATCTTGAAGTGAAACAATGACTCAAATGGTAAAACACTAGCCTTGAGCAAAAAAACTTCAGGATTGGCACCTATTATGCCCAGAGTTCAAGCCCCAGGACCAGTAGGTACATGCCCGCAAAAATAGTAACTAATGAGCTGGGAAGGTGGCTCAGTTGTAGAGTGCTTTCCTTGCATGTATGAGGCCCCGGACTTGATTCCTCAGCACCACATAAGCAGAAAAAGCCGGAAATAGCGCTGTGGCTCAAATGGTAGAGCAATAGCCTTTAGCTGAATTGCTGAGAGACGGCGTCCAGACCCAGAGTTCAGGCCCCATGACCGACCAAAAAACCCCAAAAACAAATAGTAGCTGGTTACTGAAACTTAAAATATAAGCAAGAGATTTTTGGAGCAAAATATCAGAGAATGATCCTAGTTGACATTAAAACTCATTCGGGAAAGTTTCATTTTTCTGTTTGGTCTTTTATTGGATAAGTACCTACATATTTATTTTATTTTATTTTATTTTTTTGGGTCCGGTCGTGGGGCCTGAACTCTGGGCCTGGGTGCTGTCCCTCAGCTCTTCAGCTCAAGGCTAGCAATCTACCACTTGAGCCACAGTGCCACTTCCGGCTTTTTTCTTTTTGCTTATGTGGTGCTAAGGAATCGAATCCAGGGCCTCAGGCATGCAAGGCAAGCGCTCTACCACTGAGCCACCTTCCCAGCCCAAGTACCTAAATATTTAAACTTATTTGTATGACACTACTAGAAAAAGACTGATGGCAGCCATATTCTGGTGGCTCACACCAATAATCCTGCCTACTCAGGAGGCTGAGATCTTTTTTGCTGAAAGCTAGTGCTCTACCACCTGAGCCACAACTCCACTTCTGACTTTTTTTTTTTAAATCAGTTTATTTGTTTTTTCTTTATTTTGCCAGTCCTAGGGCTGGAACTCAGGGTCTGGGAACTGTCCCTGAACCACAGCTCCACTTCCAGCTTTTTGTTTATCTGGCACTGAGGAATAGAACCTAGAGCTTCGTGCATACTAGGTAAGCACTCTACCACTAGGCCACATTTGCAGGCCCACTTCTGGGTTTTTGATGGTTAATGTAGATAAGTCTCACAGATTTTTCCTGTCTGTGCTGGCTTTGAACTGCAATCCTCAGGTCTCAGCCTCCTACGATTAAAGGCATGAGTCATCAACACCTGGCTGCAACTTTATTAATTATAAGGATCTTGGGAACCGGCCGCCAGTGGTTCATACCTGTAATCCTAGATACTCAGGATGCTGAGATCTGAGGTTTGCAGTTCAAAACCAGCCCAGGCAGGAAA